TATAGTATTGTCCCCATTTTCCTGTGGATGTGGCTTCCTGTAAGCTGAACTGCAGTGACTATTGTCTCTCCACCTAGAGAGTCTACCCGGTTCCAGGCTGGTACCAGGGGTTGTCTGCACAGAACCTGTGATGTGAACCATCTATGGGTCTCTCAGCCTTGGATACCAGCGCCTATTCCAGTGGAAGTGGCAGATGGTGCAGTGGACTCCATGAAGGTCCCTAGCTTTGGTGGTTTAATGCTCTATTTTTGTGCTGGTTGGCCTCCTGACAGGAGGTGTCACTTTCCAGAAAGCATTAGCTGTAGCAGTGTGGAGAGAGACTGGAGATGGGCGGGGCCCTAGAACTCCCAAGAACATATGCCCTTTGTCTTCTACTACCAGGGAAGGGGAGGGAAGGACTAGGTAGGGGCAGGGCTAGGTGTCTCTGAGTTCAGACTCTCCTTGGGCAGGTCTTGCTGTGGCTGCTATGGGGAATGGGGATAAGATTCTCAGCTCACTGGAGTTGTGTACCTAGGAGGATTATGGATGGCTGCCTCTGCTGAGTCATGCAGGTTGTCAGTGAAGTGACAGTCGGAATTAGCAGTCACAGACCTCACCAGCTCCACTATGCCCCCTGCAACAGCCCCGAGTCTGTTTCCATGCAGATGGGCTTGAAAATTCGCCTGATGATTTCCGTCTCCCAGAGTATATTTAGGGTGTCTCCTGGGTCCTGCAGTAGCTGTCCGCTTCCTTCAGAGAGTCTGTGGGTCCTCTCAGGATTACTGGTTTGTTCTTGCAGTCAGTCTGGAGCTAAAATCCACAGTGCAAGCCTCTGCACGCTGCTCTGTCTGGAGCTGCAATCTTGTTCTGCCTCCCATCTGCCATGATCCCGAAATCCCCCCTCTGTGATTCTTGCTAACCTTTGCATTACTTCTTTCCTTCTTGATTGCACAGGCTGATAAGTCTAGGAACTTGGACTTCTGCCTGCCTCTGGAAAGGGGCCCCAGGCTGTCCAGGGTAACAAATTATCTGCTTATCACAGTTGACACTGCTACCATTCTACTTTATTATTTCCGGCTATTGTTTTCCCTGACTTTTGGGAAGCTGACTGCAGCCTTTTATCTAGATGCTCACACTCCATCACCACTCCACTACTTCCTCTGTCTACTTGCCTCCCACCTTTCTGCGTGGGCTGCCCTGCCTTCTCCACACAGTGAGTCTTTATCCACTTCATCTGGTTTATCTGCTGAGAGTCCTCAAGGTCCAGTTGTTTCTCCATTGTTATTTGCAATTTATCTGATCCTAAACCTGACATTATATCTCACTGTGATATACAGTTGTCTGGCTATTGTTTATCCAATGCAAGTTTATTATTCTGCATCCACTTTTTTTTCCTGCTTTTCCACGTTGGGAACCATGTCTGTAACATCACAAAATCTGATGTCTGCAAATCATCCCCATAACTGCAGAGATAAGACAGATAAGACAGGACTCATTACCATTCACGTTACCCTTACTTGGGGAGAACTCAAGTCAAATTGCTTTGCCCTTGGATAACACTTTTCTTTAATTTTAAACTTGTCCTTTTTCTTTCCCTTTTTTTGGCATCTTCTTTAAACTCAGACATTTCATTCGCCTCCCACAGCTCGCCTCTCTGATTGGAAGACCATTTCGACTGATGGCAGGCATAGTGTAAATATTTTATTTTTGAGGTTTGTTCAGCAAGGTCTATTCAGACTGAGGATGAAATGCCAGCTAAAGTCCCTGTGTGTGAAGAACATCGTGCTCAGCCTTTTACTCCCAAGGCAAATTATTTGCTTAAGTAAAGGTTTCTTCCTTGATTACAGTCCTTATTATTGAGATCTTGTCTGAATTTCCCAGGTGTGTTTTGAATTTCACAATCTCGCTCTGTACTCCACAGAGGTAGTCTCAGAAAATAGATTTGCATGTGCCCCCAGCTCTGATGGAGACAGAGTCCTTTCCTAGACAAATAGCACTGGGAATAAAGGGCTATACAGAAACACATCTAGGCATGGTAATGATTATTATTATTATTTTTGACTGACGACATTGGCTGGCTGTTAATAGATACATCTATTAGGTGTCACACTGTTTGTCTTGGGACATTGCTTCTCTTGATTTGTAAGATTTTAGAGGAGAATGAAGAAACTAGGTGAACATACAATAAGTAACATTTGGTTTGGTCATTTAAGGAGAACACACTGAGCACCTATGATGTGCCAATCAATGTGTCAGGCACAGGAGCACAAGGATGAATAAAAAGGTAGTCAATCTTTAAGCATCTTCATGCATAGTGATAGAGAAAGACATGCAGGCAAGCAATTGTAACATATTGATAAATTCTCCGACAGAGACCTCTGTAAAATGCTATGGGAGCCCAGAAGATGAAGTTATAAACTTCCCAGGGGTACTAGGGACAGTGTGTGTCAAAAAGTGAGCCTTGTGAATGACTGGGAGTATTTCAGATAGGGAAGGGGAAGAGTGCATTCAGGCATAAGCAGCTCTGACTGTGGAGCAATGGCCAGCTGAGTTGTGAAACTGGACATAAGGCGAGAGTGGGGGCAGAGGAAGTCCAGAGAACTGTCTGGAAAGGGAAATTAGAGGCTGGTAGTATCAGAGCTCCCTCTGTGTGAAGGTCAGATATCAGGCTCACGTGCCTCCCCAAAAGACAAGGGAAGGGGGGACAGATGGTGGCCCTTCCAAAGGGACATCAGCAGAAGACTCCAATTTTCTCTTCTCTTGAAATGACAGCCCACTCCAAGCTCAGATGTCTGTCCTGCTGTTCCCTTTCCTGTGCAGTGGCCACAGATCTGGGGACTAACCAGTGGGCTTGTTCTTGGCCTTGGTTCATGGCCTCTCTGTTTCTGCTTAGACAACCCCATCTTCTTTTGTTCATTTTATTTCTTTAAGCTCTGCCGATCTAACCATGGCCTCTTTTATATCCTGTTAAGGCCCTGCTTTCATCTTGTCCACTGGCATTTCAGGTCTTTGCCTAGCTAAGCAGTGACCATATACGCCAGCACTAGGCACCATCTTGGAACCAGAGGATCATATAGGATTGGCAAAGGCCTGTCTTAATAAGGCCTCTTGATATCTACTTATAAGAGAAAAACAGATGTGGTTTCTGTAACCTAATCAGGAGACATATTATTCCAGGATGGGATTAGGTGGGGGAAGGTGAGGAGATAATAGCAACTGCATCTGAAAGGAGAGGTATGTGACATTACCATGACAAACAGTAGAGGCAGGTGGAAATGCTAGGGTATGGGAGCTTTCAACAATTGCTAGATGTGAATAATATTGGGAGATTATGTGAAATTATTGGGAGTAGTGTGAAAGAGATGCGTAAAATTGGAAAATAATAGCTTTGGTGAATTATGGCACTTAGTATTTTTCTCTGTCATTACCTTCCCTCCTTCCACCCCCTCAGTCATATCAAAAGTATCAAAAGCAGGTATGCAGAAGGCAAGAAGGTGGGAAGAATGACAATCTTACTTTCTCAATCCCTGGATCACAAAGCATGTTAAAAATGTTACACCAGGAGTTTGCTCACAGAGACAGAAGCCAACTGTGGGGTGAAATTGCATCAGAGGAGACATGAGGCTAGACTTGAGAAAAATAGGGTTGCAAGGCACTAAAATAACAGAGGGAGGGCATTAGAGTTCCCTCTGTGGAAGCCTGTTAGAAGAGGAGAGAAAACCATCTGGAACAGTGTAAATATAGTCATGCTTATGCCCAGGGGATGGACTTATTTTTTCCTTTTAACAATTTTAACTAAAAGTTTTATGTGAAAACACTATCAAAGTACAAGGGAGTACTTTGTATTCTGTCTTAGTTTGTTATTTTATTGTGATTTAACATTATACAATTAGCATTTTACACGTTTCTGCATGGTCCTCACAGTTATGTTAATGGCGGCATAATATCCCAGAATACTGTGGAATGGTTAATTTAATAACACATCTGGTATTAGCTCTGTATATGCACTGCTGGCCCAATTGTTGAGTATTTTATGGTCTTCTTTAATTCCTCGGCACTGTGCAAATTAGCCTGCCTTTCCTTTCCTGAGTGTTCCTAAACTTCTCCCTGCAACCACCCCTACAACCACCAACAGAATGCCCGTTAGACTTCATCTCTGCCTACTGGAAGGGAACATGGGATGGTGGTAAAGGCTTGCTGTCAGGTCAGAATCAGGTTTCCTGCTTTTATTATTTACTAGTTTGGGGATCCTGTGACACTGGGCACATTATTTCATCTTGTGAGCTTCAATTTCTTCATCGGGAGAATGTCTATAATTATGCGTATCTTGAAGGGTTGTGTAAGGATTAAAGACAATATTTATGAAGTTCTTGCTACACAGTAGATGCCTGGATGGTTTGATTATGGGGCCCCATGCACAACAAAGAAAGTTGTCGTCTTACATCCAATTGAAAGCACGTAGAGGGCAGGAATCTTACTTTATTCACCCCTGAATCCCCCAATGGTGCAGAGGGCTTTATACGATTCATGCTTGTTAGTTGATTATTTAGATCTTTGCTGAATATCTGGCTTATGTTGTCAACTTGTATATGATTAGTGTGGGGTGGGGGGTGTTAAAAGCAGATGGAGTGGAGGAGGTAGGGCTGTTGAGCACGTCCTTTCTGAGTTTCTGAACTCTTGTTCCTCCAGCCTGCAGCCAACAGGTTCTAAAATGGTGGCAGCTCATGGCCCAATATGGGTCTGCAGCTCCACCTGTAGGGATGGCAGTCACAGGGTGAGGGCAACTGGCAGCTCTGCGCAACAAGTACCTGTTATCAGAGGCTGCCTGGGGGCCCAGCATAAATATTCAGTGTGTCTTTCACACCAGGACAATTTTAGAGACCAGGTGCACCGAAGATGCACAGGCAGATGAGAAAGGGGGAGGGGAGGAGGGAACCAACCCACAAACAAACCCGATTTCCTCTGCTCCTCACAAAACATTTGCCTTTTACAAGCACACAGATAAATCCCCAGCAGCACAGGGAGTGCCGAGAGGGAAGTTGGCATTTGAAAGGCTTGCAGTATCAGCTAATTGGTCTCAAACCTAACTCATAAAAAGACCTGTAATTATGCTGTTCAGAATTAACACAGAAGACTGTTGGGTTGGTGGTGGTGGAGAGAAGGAGGGGCAACGATGGGAGAAAAAGTCCGTTTTTTAAGTGAATTTATACTATTATAAGACCTGTCGCGGGTGAGTAATAAAAACGGCGATGCTATGTTAAGCCTTGTGTTATCCTGTTTGCTCAGATGCTGCTTATGCCAGCTGTAGCCAGCAGAAAGTACTTTTCAATTTATTTTTATGACTCTTCTCTAAAAGCATTCCATTAAAGGAATATTACTCTGTATGAAGTTTTGAGGCACCAGTGGCAGTTTATTTGCTTGTTATGCTGGAAAGGAATAAACAGTTATCTGTGGTATCCATTATTTTGGTTTTGTCTTCCTCACACCCCAGTTTAGGGTCAAATGTGGATTCTACAGAGTGCCCCTCCTCCATTGGGTTTGGCTGAACCTGGGTCGCATTTCAGCCCAGTCTGGTGATCAGAACAGCTGAGTCTCTAGTTTGCGACTTGCTTGGGTAACTTCCGCAGTCCCCTTGGTGAGATGAAGCTCCTGCAGCCATGCTGCTTGTTTGCAGGGGCCGAGCTGAGCCAGGCAGGGAGACATCTCCTAAGGTGGAGCCTGTTCTGTCTCTCTAGCTTGTCAAACTCAATTATTTGGTTCCTTTGGCAACGTATTCTACAGAAACTGTGATGTGCAAATATGAGAACGATCCCTTTCTCTCTCACAAATAAGATGGGTCTAGAGAGCATGGCATGGTGGTTGAGAGTACAGTTTTTGAAGTCATATTGCTCAGGAGTGAAATTAAGACCTATCGACACATCAACTGCTATCTTAGGCAAGTTACCTAAGCTTTCTTTATCTTAAGTTTCTTAACCTACAAAATGGGGATATAAATACTTCCCACTTTACAGGGTTTTTGTGATAATTAAGTGAGACCGTAGATGTAAAGTGCTTAAAACGATGCATGTCACATCGTAGGTGCTTTTTGTGTAAGAGTCATCCTATTGTTAATATTACTCCTGAGATCTCAACGAATGTAACAGGATACTGTTTTTTTGTTTGTTTGTTTTGTTTTTGCTCTGATTTTACCACTAGCTTGCCATATCACCTTAAAATGATCACTTATCTTCTCTGAGAAAATAATTCAGGCCTTGTTCTCATTCATGGAGGGATATGAAGGCCAGCAAAAAGCAAAAGTCATGATACGTGTATGACCTTATGATTATTTATGATGTCTTTATAGCCCAGATGAATACAGTGCTAACTCACAGTGTCAGCGTGGTCATTAATGTGCAAGCATATTTTCAAGATCTATTATTGGGACATGAGTTTACTCATGTTGTGGGATGTTATTTGTTGTAGAATCTTAGAGTTGGAAGAGATCTTAGGAGCCACGGGCTTTTTATTTTTAGGCAGGCATTCCTCCTATAACAACTGCAATTTGTGGCAGGCTACAACTTGTGCTATCATGGGTCCTTTAATGGTGGATTCACTCTTGCAAGCTCATTTCTCCTAGTTCTAGGTGTCAGAATGCTCTCCTTAAACTTACCTGAAATCTTCTTCCCTGTAGCTTTCATATAGTTGTGTTGGTTCTGCTCCATGAACCTTCCCAGAACAAGTGTAATTCCTTTCCTTGTGGCAGCTCCTCACATATTTGCAGACAACAGTTCTTCTAAGGTCTTTTCTGTTCCTGGCCAAGTTCCTCCAAACATTCCTTATATGCCACAATGTCCAGACCCTTTGTTCTCATGAATGGATTGTACCCACATTGGCAATATTCTTCATACAGTGGTATTTCTGAAGCTGAATACAGAATCCTGGTATTGCTGGGTCTTCTTAGATTGTGATGTTCTTCTTTAATCAGTGTGATCCAAGATGGTTCTCACCTGTTTGATGACTACACAACCTTGGTCAAATCACTCATGCTTTGAGACCAAGTCCCCTTTCTAGTCAATGGGAGCAATAAAACTTACATGATACAGCCATCAAAGGATTTAGATGAGCTTCAAAGGTGAACAATATATGAAGGGATTTGATATCACACAGAAATAAGTTTGGGTTCAATTGTACTGATACTGAGCTTATGTAATCTGCTACAAACCTAGTTACTTTTCCCCTGTAAGTACTGTAACTAGCCCACTTATTGTGCCACACTTAATACTGTTAAGTTTCTTTTGTTAGCTTTTCTTGACGTTCCAGTTTATAGAGAATCTTGATTTTGCCAATCGCTTTACTGGCCATCACTCCCTGCTTTGTGTGATCCACAGATTCAAGAAGCATGGATTCTGTGGTTTTACCTAAACGATAAATAGAAATGTTGAACATTTTCCTTCACAAGAACTCTTCAGTTAGCTTCTCCCTATTCACAGCATATACAGCTAAAATTAACAATGGCCACTTCCTTTTATCTCTCTTCATCCCAAACATGTTTCTCTCAAAAAGCAGTTTCTATTGTTTTGTAAAGGTATTTAGGTAAATACCTAATCATTTTCTGTAGATTATAAACTCCTTAGGGACTGAGAATGTGTTGAATTATAGTTGTGGCCCCCAAAGGCGATAACCCTGCCTGACACATATTAGGCAGCCCCTTGAAGGCAAGAATATAGGGCTAAGGGCAGAGTTTTTTTACATTCCCCAATGAGGACTCTCAACTAATTATGCCATCATCAAGCACTTATTTGTGTAGTTAGTTTGATTAATGTAAAGAGTGTTATAATGATTATCTTCTGTTAAGTCCAAAATTATAATGAGGCTGAGACATTACTTGCAAGCTAACCTGCCTGTGTAGGCATGTTTGTATACGCACACACACACAGGAATGGAAACACCAGCCCTCTGCATTAGAGAACAGACAACTTACTTCTAGAGCATCTTAGTGCTGGTTTCCTATGCCCCAGTCAACCACAGGCTGGTGTGACAAGGGCCTGATACTGCCTGTGCATGCAGTAGGGTCACCCCACGGAGGGGGTACCTCAAATTCATGAGACTTGAAATTTCTACGGTATGTCTGGCACAGGTGCACTCATCTAATTCCAGAGAGAGAGAAAGGGAGAGAGAAGGAGAGAGAGGGAGAGAGATGCTCTCTAGGGAGGAGAGAGGGAACTCCACTCATCACTCTTAGAATATAAAAAATAGCAAAATAGCTCTGGAAGAAATGAGTTTTTTAAATCTCTCTAGAGGTATGCACTGTCTCTAATTGAATATTTACCACTGTTTACCATTTGATCCTCCCTTTAACCTGGGTTTGCAAGAAAGCCCAGATCATGCAGAAAGGTGAACATCTTCACGGAGAGCTATTTCCCAATATCTTCTGCAAAGAAGCCGCCTTAAGTACCCATACACAGACTCTAAGGTGTTATTTGTGTAGAAAATCTTTTGTGTTCCTATTTGAGGATGGCTTGTATACCCAGTGTTACATTGTTTTCACTTGGGTGTCTGTGTGCGTGTGTGTGTGTGTATGTGTGTGTATGTGTGTGTGTGTATTTATATATATACAAATATGTATATGTACATATATATGTATATACATATACATGTATGTTTCTGTCAGTGTGTGTGTGTTTGTGTGTGTACAGACAGGTTAGCTTGCAAGTCCAGTAACATCTCAGCCCATCATAATTTTGGATTTAACAGAAGATAATCATTATAACACTCTTTACATTAATCAAACAAACTACACCATATATATATATATATATATATATATATATATATATATATATATACACACACACACATATATATATATATACACATATATACTTTTTTTCCATTGAGGGAATCACCAGTAGTAATTTTTTAAGTCCCCAGAATAATAATTTTGACTTAGTGAGGTAAGTCAAGTAGCAGACAAGCTAGGTTATATAAAAATCAGTAAAAAAGAAAGTCACAGCAATGTGTCAAAATTGAGATTGACTGCAAACTAAGACAACTTCTCTTTTGGGCCTTGCAAACTAACTGCGAAGGTTACAAAAAAAGTAAAATGGCAGCATTGCTGGAAAAAAATGGTGCAACTCTACAATAATATCTTTGAGGTTTTAGTAGTACTTTGGTTGTACAATTTCTGCATGCCTTTAAAAAAAATAATATTGCCACTGTATAATGCTGTCTTGCATTTCCAAAGTCTTACCCAACACTGTTTGCTAGCCACTGTGAAAGAAGCAAAACAAATAGTATTACCGGGTCTATTTCAGGAATATTTCAGTCTTGTTAGGAATATAATAGTCTAGATAAAGAAGATAAAAATAAATGCAAGCACCCAATAGAAATATGTTGAATAGTATAGGATGTATAGGTTTGGAGAGGTTCGGTGTTAAGAAATTTTCAGGGCTGGTAGTATATGTAACAGGAACAAGCACAAGATTTGGGAGCTAGAAAGGAGCGTTGGGCACTTTTTCTGTTTGCCCAGAGAGCGGAGGAGGGCTTACTTTTACCATGGGCATTAATTTCTCCAGAGTCCCCAAATAAAACAAAATTCCTAATTTTCTCTAGAAACTGTGCATACTTCAGAACAGGCTATTTGAAGGGCAGATAAAACATGGGAAATTCGGTGTGAGATTAAATGAAGATTAAAATAAGCAGGAGTGGGATAATGAGAAGTTCACAGGAGCAGAGTGAACTGTGAGACACAGCAAACAAAAAGGAAAATATAATCAGGGAATTGAGAGGACAACTTTTGTAGCAAATCTATGAGACTTCCTTGTTCAGATCCAAATGAAAGAAATTTGGAGCAAATTTCTTCTCCTCAGATCTTTCAATTTCTTTATGCACTGATTAGTGTTTTATTTATTTATTTGGCCTGCCTCATAGCCTATGTATTTTCTGGTTTATGCTTTTACTTGATTTTTTTTCCCCTAGGCCCTGGCTTCCTTCCTTCAATTACCCACTTCAGATAGAAGCTTACACAATTGGAAAAGGAGGCTGGAGATTCATCTCCTCTGGACTGTAAAGGTGACAAATCTCTCTCAACTCTTTGGTTAGAAAATACAGGTAAGTGTATGGTCGGGCACGGTGGCTCATGCCTATAATCCCAGCACTTTGGGAGGTCGAGGCAGGTGGATCATCTGAGGTCAGGAGTTTGAGACAAGATGGCCAACATGGTGAAACCCCGTCTCTACTAAAAATACAAAAGTTAGCTGGGCATGGTGGCGGGTGCCTTTAATCCCAACTACTCAGGAGGCTGAGGCAGGAGAATGGCTTGAATCCGGGAAGCGTAGATTGCAGTGAGCCGAGATCACGCCATTGCACTCCAGCCTAGGCAACAAGAACAAAACTCTGCCTTAAAAAAAATGAAAAAGAAAACAAAAAAAAGAAAAGAAAGAAAAAGAAAATACAATTAAGTGGACTGGAGTGTGCTCTTTCCAAAGAAAATTGGCTGGATTGAGATGTGAGTATCCTAGGAGCTGAACCAATAAAAATCAATCATTCCCATCCCTGGGGAAATGGCACTAGGGGAAAAGTTTGCTTTGATGTGTCTATGCTGTGGACAAAGTGTGTGATTCTTACCCAATCAATTGAAATCTCTAAAATGAAAGATTGAAGCCGTCAAGTGTTGTAACATCTCTGAGATGAGAAATGTTTGTAAGAATTGTCTCCAGTAAATGTCAACTCCTCTCCCTCAGCCCCCATCTAAGTGTTTGCATAGCCTTGGAGTTGTGTTGTCTGTTTGATCAGGCTAAGAAGCCTTGAGGAATCTTCAAGTCTATGTGAGACACTTAGTGGAAAACAACTAGCTGGATGACTCACAAGCTCACCAAGTGGGAAGGTGACTGTGGAGTCATGATGTCCATTTCTTGTGTTTATTTTAACCTAGAAGATTTGATGCTACCCTGTGCTTAAGTACCTCCAGAAAACATTGCATACCCCCTGAGGTACCCAGTGCTGGGGTCAAAGGACTCTCACTGTGAAGTTGTCCATATAGTCTTGCTATTCAATTTCTTAATCCCAATTATACAGTACCCTTTAAAGTCATGCTGGGACCAGAGCTGGTTATGTGTCATACGGAAGGTGACATTTCTTGAGGGGATAAATTAATGAATCTGCTACTAAGTTCTTAAAATTGTTTTGTTAGTCCCAGTCTGTTTTAATAAAGTGGGTCATTGCGTAACAATCTGCAATCCACATACCTGTAACTTATTTTCCTAATGCTGGTCTTTTAAAAATGATTAGTTGGATTATCCTTTGAGTGAAAATAGCTGGGTCTCTTCCAATTCCTTCTAATACTCAGAGAACCTGTATTCAACTTCCAATTTTATGCTTGGCCAGGTACTCTTTCTTTTTAATTGTATTAAGATACACGTAACATAAAATTTATCATTGTAAGCATTTTAAGCAACCAGTTTATTGGTCCTAAGTACGTTTACATTATTTTGCAACCATCACCACTATCTGTCTCCAGAATGTTTGCATCATCCCAAATTGAAACACTGTACTCAGTAAATGATAGTGTCCCAGTTGCTCCCTTCCTCTAGGCCCTGGCAGCCATCATGCTATTTTCTGTCTCTATGGATGTGATTACTCTAGGTACCTCATAAAGTAGACTCATGCAATATTTGTCCTTTTTAACATTTTAAGTTCCAGGGTACATGTGCAGGATGTGTAGGTTAGTTACATAGGTAAATGTGTTCCATAGTGGTTTGCTGCATCTATCAACCCATCACCTAGGTATTAAGCCCAGCATGCATTAAGTATTTTTCCTAATGCTCTCCCTCCCCAACCACCCCTACTTCCAACAGGGCCCTGTGTGTGTTGGTTGTTCCCTTCCCTGTGTCCATGTGTTCTCATCATTCAGTTCCCACTTACAAGTAAGAACATGCAGTGTATGTTTTTCTCTTCTCGTGTTTGCTGAGGATAATGGCTTCCAGATCCATCCATGTCCCTGTAAAGGACATGCTCTTGTTCCTTTTTATGGCTTCATAGTATTCCATATTGTATATGTACCACATTTTCTTTATCCAGTCTATCATTGATGAACATTTGGGTTGATTCCATGTCTTTTCTATTGTGACTAGTGCTGCAATGAATATACCTGTGCATGTTTATAACAGAATGATTTATATTAGTTTGGGTATATACCTAGTAATAGGATTGCTGGGTTAAATGTTATTTCTGGTTCTAGATTTTTCAGGAATTGCCACACTGTCTTCCACAATGGTTGAACGAATTTACATTCCCACCAATAGTGTAGAAGTGTTTCTGTTTCTTCACAACCTTGCCAGCATCTGTTGTTTTTTGAATATTTGTCCTTTTATGTCTGGCTTGTTTAACATAATGTCTTTAAGGTTCATTTATGTTATAGCATGTGTCAGAATTTCATTCCTTTTCAATGCTGAATAATACTCCATTGTATGTATCTACTCTATTTTGTTTATCCATTCATCTGTTGATGAACATTCCGGTTGTTTCCACATTTTGGCTTTTGGGAATAATGCTGCTATGAGCATTGGTGTACAAATATCTCTTAGAGCCTCTGCTTTCAATTGTTTGGGGTATATATCCAGAAATGAGTTTGCTGTATCATATGGCAATTCTGTTTAATTTTTTGAAGAACTGCCATACTGTTTACAGTGGCGGTACCAGGGTTTCAGTTTTTCTACACTCTCTCCAACACTTGTTATCCTCTCTCTCTCTCTCTCTCTCTCTGTGTGTGTGTGTGTGTGTGTGTGTGTGTGTGTGTGTGATATAATCGTTATCCTAAAGGTCAACTACTCTTTGATTTGTGGGAATTCACAAAATCCTATCACATGGCCTTCTCCTCCATCATTTTTGACATTCACCTTCTTAGATAAACCACTTTTTATGGTTTGGGCCCATATAAAATGCTTCCTATTTTTCCTCCTTAGTCTGGTAACCTCACCTTGATGTCCTGTTAGGGAGCAACCTTGGTACTGTCTTTGTTAGCTGTGTGGCTTCCAGGCTCCAAGGTCACTGTGGTGACACCTCCAGGTGAGTTTATTTTTACCTCATTTTCCAAATTGTCTTACATGTTTCTTTTGTGATGTTCCATCTCAACATGTTTAAAACTGAGTTCATTATTCTGGTGCCGTAACATAGAACCTATGTGACTTTAGGCAAACAACCTAAGACTAGTTTCCTTGATTAAAAAGAGAATAAAAAATATTGCCTAGAGCACAGATTTTTTTGTGCTAAAGTAGATAAGTCTATAGAGTGATTGATACAGTGATTGGCACATAGTGATTTTTCAATAATTGGTAGCTATTATTGTCAATTTTTCTCCCAACTGGATATCTGTATTTTTTCATTTTTTTACTAGTGATACCACTCTTCTCTTAAGAAATGTAGGCTACACACGTCATAGTAAGCCTTCTTTCATACTATCTTATCCACTTCAAAAATTTCAATGATCACTCCAAATAATTAGCATTTTCAACAGTTTATTAAAAAACCTGTGGTGCCTGAAGTTGCTCTTTCTAGCATCCCCTCTTTGTGTTTGCATTAAGCCTCTGCCTGAACTGACTAGAGAGGGAACCCTCCAACACCAATGCTATTAGATATTGTTGCTATTCCTTCTGCCATGTGCTTCTCATGGGGATATTTGACCCCTCTGATCCCAGCACCTTTCCACCTATGCCTAGTTATTCTAAGTCCGTAGTTGGAACACAGCATACACTCTTGCATGCCATTACTAATAACTCACACATTAGATGGGTTGATTGAAGTTTGCTTACTTTAGCCTTGGAAAAAATGAAAAGCTTATTGATTGTAGACAAAGCCACTTGATTGAATGTTTAGAGACTTTTTAATTGTTCAAGGCAACATGCTAGGCTCTGGGGTGTTAACAAACATTCTTCCCCACTTGGAATATCATCCTATGTAACATTAGCCAACACTCACTTTCCCCTTGCTCAGTTACTGGTAATAAATACCTCATTGCTTGTTGTGGCCCTTTGATACTCGATTGGATGATTTTGTGCCATTGTCTATTTGTCTGTTGTTAAATTATTTTTGCATCTAGGTTTCCAAATAATTGTAACTTCGATAAAGGCAGTACAAGTGTCATTTTTCTTTTTCCCTGAAGGACCCAGTACTGTGCTAGGCACTTGGATTTCATTCATTTGAAATATAGTGAGTACCTACTATGTGCCGTACCCTATGCTAGAAACTGAGGATATGATGGAGAATAATATAGAGAAGCTTACATTTTAGGACAGATTAAATCATCTCTACATTTATAATTGAGTGTAAGGGCTATTTGTAGTGGTGGGAATAGGGGAATTAGGACACCCTCATAGTAGGTTTGGGGTAGGAAGCTGTAAGTCCAAACCTACCCGTGGGTATCTTGAAACTTGACTTTTGCAAACCCGGAGCCCATAATTTCATTCTTTTTATAAGTGGGTTGGATGTTCTCTATTCTCATCATATTTGAAAACCTTTTCTCTCCCAGCTTCATCATATTTCATAACTCATAAAATATATGTGAAAATCAATGACATTAGATCACTGTGTCTTAAGTCTTAAGAGTTTTCCTGTCTTCCTAATGATGTAGTGAATCAGAAAATAATTAAAAATCATTTAGAGTGCAACCTCCCTTTCCTTCCCCCTGCCCCACTTCCCCGCTCTGCCTGTAAGACACAGTGTGATTTATGTCTTTCCCTCCACCTTGATTGCTCTTGATAGCACAGGGACATCTTCACTGATGGGAACTATGCCAGCACCAGCAATACTCTCAGCTTTGCCCAGATTCTCCCATGAAACAGTGAGTGGAGACAAAATTGCTATCACTACGGGGAAGCTTCCACCTTTGGGATCACGGCTCATTTTATTCTAACAACAGCCACAACCACAAAAAACCACAGCTGACATTTACAGGATGCTTGCCCATCCATTATCTCATTTGATGCTCACAAATGCCTTGGGGCACAGATATTGCTTTTATTCTGATTACTGTCAGCAAAGCATGACTCAGATAAAGCTGGGGAGTTTTCCAAGGTCACTCTTCTTATGAGAGGGTAGAAACAGGATTATAACCC